AAACAAATATAGATAAATCTTTATAAATACTAGATGGGCTTTTAAGTAATCTTAAATGAGCTTGCTTGTAGCATTATCAAGTGAAAAATATGTTTGTATATGCATCGTCATATCCACCACTTTTCACATTTTTTTAACAAAACTCCTCATCGTTTCATTTAATCTATTGAGTACCTCCTTACGTGAAACGCTCATATCGGGTGCTCTAATCCAAGAGAACGAAGAATTTTGTGATACTTATCAGAAGTGAAAAAAATGATAAAGACAGGTTGGAAGAAAACGTTTGTTGTATGTAGGTTTCAAAGTACTTAGGCCTTCATAAAGGCGAATTCAGTACACAAAATAGTTTTAGTATCTCATTAAAATTTAATGGTTTGAAATCTGCACATAAGACTATTTAGATGCAAATATTTTGAATCCGAGCTGAAAGCAAAACTGGAAAATAATTGTAAGAAAATTAATTATAATGTATAAATTTGTACAAGAAAGAGCTAATCTATAGCTCCAGACTCATTTTCACAAAGCCATTATTGGCGGAGTTTATAAAAAAAATTAATTAGGCTGTATCGTTTCATAATGGTGTATTGGTGGAGTAGTGCCGTATTTATGATTAAATTGATAAATGCCAAGTTAAGTTGCTTTTGGAAATTAGCTTCCCGATGCCATTTAAGGATTTCCTATTAGATTACAGAACAAGTTTGGTACCATTTTTGTAAAAGTTGATAGTGTTGAGGGAATGGCTAGTTCACTCCACTAAAATTCCTTTCTGATAGACGTTATTTCTTGGATTCGAGATTATTTTGACCAATTCAGTATGTTTATTATTGCTGAGTTAGCATAAAATGATTGATATTATGACTGGTCGTAGAGTCTATTAAGAGCTCCTGACACTCAACTAAGGCACAAATGTTGACAGGCTTTCTAGAGGATGGTGACTCTGGTTCAGCACGTTCCGGGATGGGGTCCCTGTTGCGGAAAACCTCGATGTCAGGTGCCTCACGACAAGAGAGATTATCGACAAGTGTCTCTTGTAACTTTGCACAAGAAAGTCGGTTGCGCTGAACTTGACCGAATGGTGGCTGGCTTGGTCGACGAATTCGGTGCTGCCACTGATGGACTAACAGGACCCCAAGAGTCATCAGACAGGAGAACATAAATTTACTGGCATAGGCCAACATGCGGAGGCGATGCATCTCTTCTTGCCAGACGCGCCGTCGTGCCGTAAGAATGGAGGCCAGTTTATGCATGTTTTTCGGCGTGTCCAACAGCAAAGTGAGCACCACACGTTGGGCATAGATCAAGCTGATCTGGGCTTCACTCGGCCAGACGAAATTCACAGCACAAGGCGGTCTGGTGTTGTGCAAAGAAGGCGAAAAACTTTTCGCTTTGCGACAGACCACATGCGTAAAATGAAGTCCCCAAAGCAGAATGAAACCCAAAAACAGGACGATGACCAACAAATGGGGAAGAATAAACTCAAGACAGGGTTCGAGATAAACTAAAAAACGATAGTAGATTTGATAGAACTCGGGTCTAACTTTGCACTCCAAAGTGTCCAGAAGACGTGCTCCCGGCTGAAATCGCTTTTTATGATAGCCAAATATCCACATGTAGTTGAGAAAGAGAGCAAACACCACAGCGCTGAACAGGCCGAGACCGATTTTGAGATGCAACGAAGTGAAAAATGTGGGGCATCGAGATGCCCAACCGGAGTAGTCCATTGCGACTTTTCTTCCCTCAGACTCCTCAGCCTCCTCACTGTCGTCTCCCAGACTCGAAGGATCGCCGTGCTCGGTGCCAATTTGTAGAATGACTCTGAGATTACTCGAAGACGCCTGAATGTCGGTATTCCTGACCGACCTACAACTCGTCGTCTGACGAGTCACTCGGGTCGGTAGCCGAGAATGTCGGGCAATCAAGGAAGTGGGAGAAAGTAGGCTAACAAAGCGTTCCATGGCGAGTACAACCAGCAACCATTCGCCGAGAACAAGAGGCAGATGGTCCATCACTTGATAGGCCTTACAGGCCAGCAGTGACATACTCTCCTGGCTCGAGAGTCGGCCAAGATTGAGGACGTGAGGCAGCGCAACCATTGCAATGTTGGCCAAATCGGAAACGGCTATACACCGGATCAACAGCAGTGCAACAGGTCTCTTCGTCTCTGGGCGCCCGAGATCGGAGCGGTTTGATCGTGTTGCTGTGTTGATTTCGTCTGTTGAGGCCCCAGTAACGTCCACCGCAGAAGGGTTGGCCGTGGTCTTCACACTTTTCTTCTGTCTCCATTGCCATTTTATTGTCGAGACATTATTTCTGACGGAATATGACTTCTTTGCAGCCGCTGACTTGGGAGTTTCTATCCGTTTCGGTTCCAGTTCTGCTCGAGGACACCGAATTCGATGGCATGCGCATCGAGAAAGAAAGGTACATCCGCACAGGTTACAAATGCACTCTCGGCTCCGGCACAGTTTAGAGGAATGCTGTTGCCCTGAAAGCGATTCTTTCTTGGCGCCAACGTGCTCCTTCATACCGACTCCGTAGATAGGTTCATGAATATTAGCATGACTGGAGGAAGAAAAAGACTCTTGGGCACTGTCTCCTTGGAGGCAGCAGCAATAGGCTTGGCACAAATGAAGGGGAAACCGGGTGTCATAATGACGGCCAGTTGGGGAAAAGCCGAATTTTCTCGCGCAGGGAGACCAATTTGTTGGATGATGTTGAATCTTATGATATGCACGCTTCTCCTTTGGGATTCGTGGCCTCGTCAGCCTTATTACGAAGATATTCAAGAGCCAGCTAAGAGGAAGCAAAGCTCTGTAGAAGACGGACTCGGCGAGAGTGAAAGCTGCCAGCCAACACGAGGGAAAGATGTCGTCTATGCCAGAATAATTTAACGAAAAGGCAGTTTGTTCTCGAAGCGACTTTGTCTTCGATTGCATCGGCAGCATTCTTTCAGCCAAGCCAGTCGAGTTGTCTGTATATGAGGAAAATTTAGTCATCCCCAGAATGAAGCGAAACAGCTTCACGTCTATCAACTCCAATGCCAAGTCATTGAACTAAATCCAACCATTTAAAGTCCTATAAGAACAGTTGCGGGAGAGTGTGAAGTGGTTGAGTACATATTTAAGAAAGGTTTATTTCATCGGTCAAATTTATTACAAACTTTGTTAACCCGACTCATGCTTTATTACTACGGCAAAACATTTGCTGACATAATATCAACTCTTTATAATGTAATAGCTAGAGTTGAGAATCCGTTAACTTTCTCACGTAACTATTTGTATAGCAACAAGCCCATACCCAGAGAAAGTATGTAATATTTATTTAACAATCTCAAAGAATAATTGGACCATTTAACCTAAATGGATTGACTCTTCGACCATTCTTTCGTCAGATTTTATAAATGATAAAAGTAAGCATATATCTCTAGTTAATTATTTTTAGTTTTATTTTTATTTACAAAAATATAAATACCAATATTTTATGGTCATTTATTTGACTTTTGCCCTAGCGACTTGGTGTAATCTTGTATTCGCCACATACTCAAGCTGACAGAAGGCAAGTATATTTTCTACAAAGATCATTTACTTGGTAAATTTCCTCCATTTTAGCTGATAAAATCAGCGAGAAACGCCATTTTTAGGATAAAGTGGCCGTTCGGCAAAGTGACTAGTTAAAGCAATCACCTAAACCAAGCTACCTATCCCCATCCTAGCTCCAAGAGCTACATTCTCATATCTTATTCTGACTTCATAAGATCACACTCTCTCGTGTTTTCTAATACCTTCCAAGGATATGTCATCCATTTGCGTTAAATAAAACTTAGTCAATTTCAGTACTGCAGTCCGAGCCCATCTCCAGTGCCGCCTAATCCAAATAAGTACCTCTACTTGGAAATTCACATTCATCAACTTCTATCAGCTGATCAACCTTGTCCTATATAGCCTGATGGCTATAATCCCTCTATCCATACATCATGCCCAAAGACATATTCGCATGACTGGACCCAAAATAGGGATTCTCAATCCTGCTGTCTTTTAAATAGTAAGGGAAATATGAATACCTTTTTCTAAAGAAAACTAATTAACAGGATATGAGATGTATTCACCCTATTTCATCTAAGGTGATGAAGGACTGGTATTAGAATTTTCCCACAATGATATGAGTTGAACTGGCGTTTCCATTGTGGGAAAATTCTACTACCAGTCTTTCATCACCTTAGACAAAATAGGATGAATACATCTCATATTACTGATTTACTGGTAGTCTCAAAACTCTACTCTAATTAGAAAATAATTAACAAGATGTTTAAACTTAATGAAAATATCGCTCACTGTTCATAAATTCATGGAAAAATCGGGATTCAGCAAGGATAACAGAAGAGAGGCGCTTTAATAAAGTACAATGGCTAAATACATAGCCAAGAAAAGGAGCTTGAGGTGCAAATAGAAATTGAGAGGAGGAGAGTGCAATGAACGGATTCTAAACAAATGACTAGCTGTAAAAGATTAGCAGATTAGGATGTACCTGGAAAAAATAAGTTGAGTATTTATAAAAGTTCAACTGTGCTTTTATTAGATATAAACATTTTAGATTCTAGATCTACTTCGAATCCACGTGAATGCTGCAACCTAGGATGAATGCATAATCACAGTTTTACTCATAGAGCTTAGGTTCCGTAAAAATCATTATGTATGGATGGGACGGACCAGCCAATAGAAGTATGGTAAAATAGATTGTTGATTAAAGTCATCATTTTTCGAAAGCAGATCCTGTAGACGCAATGTAAAACTGGTGGTGGTGACCATAAAAACGGAGCACACTTTTGAATAAACTCTGCAAATAACAACTATGGTGGGGTGTTCCATTAAAAATTTCATCGATAACATATCGTGAAAGAATATTTTGTTGACGCTCATTCATTACAAAGAGGCATTAATAGTTAGAAATTATGTACAAAAGTTATTTCGGATGGAAAAAGATAATCAATCTATAATATTCCAGGCATCCAATTCCAAACCACTTAATAAGTTCTGATTTCTTTTAAATACAGTAATATCTAAGGAATATAATCTTGTTGCATAGAATACCAAGTATTTCTGCGTAGTCACGGCATATAGATTGTTGACAATCCTTAAAGATTAGTACATTTTTAGTGTTGACGATCTAACTTATTATACAAAACCTGTTATCATAATATATTACCTTAAGAAGTGCCCAGCAAAACGAAAGCCTTAATGGGCACAAGTTACTCTTCATTTGGTCGTTTAACTATTGCCACAGCTTTTATTTGAGATGTGTTGAGAACTTCTTTTTGATTTAAAATAGAATTTGATAGAATTATGGTATTTATTTATGTATATATATTTTATTACCATTTAAATAGTTAAACTTATGCTAACTTATCTTAAATTTTCATTTTTATCAAATTTTTGAATAAAAAATAATGGTTAATGAGAATCAATATAGTTCATGCTTTAATCTGAATATGAACCACCTTGTTACTGAATGAGATTCTTTAAGAAAGATAATATGTCTATTGTTAGTTTAAAAACTCAACAAATATATATTTTAATCAGAAGTTTGACCTAAATACTTTTATTTTAGTTCAATAAAAAATAAAAATATGTATATGCCTGCAATAGCGGAATCTCTCCTCATATTTTGACTAAGAACTAAATAGTCAACTTGGTTATTTAAAAACTTAATATTTTTATCATATATAATAGTCCTTAAACCTATCGTATCACAAGATCCATTGCAGAGGTTCAAATTATAGTATTAAAATTAGAAATTATTGTTAGCAAATACACATTGTATTTGTTTTACTTGCACTTCATATAACAATAAACTAAAGAAGTTTTTAAAACTGCATAGGTTTCTCTTAAGTAATTATGTACATTTATTAATTATAATTACTAAAATTATAAAATGGACATAGGCTCTTAATTCAATATATATTTAGAATATACATAATAACTTAATTTAATAGTAATATTAGTAAAAATAATATAGTATTCGTTACATAATAAGAGTACATATATATTAATATAATAATATAAATTGCCACAATTAATCTCCCATTTATCGCATTCATATTTTTATGTCTAATCCGAAATATATATGGCAAAAGCTTGAGGAAATTTACATTATCTTGGTGCACAGGACCAAGTTTATCAGATATTGCTTTGTTATAAAACTATTTTTGAATCTAAAGTTCAAATAAACTTGACTCCTTATTTTACGTTTAATGTAAAATCACAAGAAATTTAGTGCTTAAGATGTACCGTAGGGCACACATATCCCTTGTTAAAAAAATAAATAAGCAAATAAGTCAAAATAAAAGTCATACGCTTACAACTTTTATTTGTCATAGAACTGGGACATTGAATTTAATGTGTAAGTCTATTTTAGCAAATAGTGTTTTGGCTTTGCAGGAAAATGAACCTGCAGAAGAGTATGCCTGGCAGCAACTTGGATAAGACTTAAGTTCATCATAGAATTTGGCATAGTAGCCCTCAAGAGTTCTTCCTTACTATCGAAAGCTTTCGTTTAAATGATAGCGAAAAAATTAATTTTCTTGTATAAGGTCACAGCAATAATTTTTAACTGTATGGATACTGAATCAAGGATTATTATTTTTCAAACACTAATAGTAAATACTCAAGATAATTTCTAAAAATTTAATTTTTATTCAATAAATAATTGATATATATATAAGCAGGAAATACTGTTTAAATCTTATTTAATTGTCTAAATGAATAATGTTTCATAATGAAATAAAATTTAAACCAAACTCATTTGAATATATTATAAATATAGAGGTTTAAACGATGTAGCCGCATTCTGAAGGCTTTATACAATTTTCTCTTTCTTAACTATATCCGTAAAGCATACTCGACTATGAATAATGAGAAGAAAGTTGACGCAAGAGCCATCTTAGTTAAAGTATTTAATTGAATTCATGAATAAGGGGTCGCTAAAGTTTTAAGTTATTTAAGATAACGGATTTACCCTTTTCTTTTGTATAATTACCACTTAATATTCTAAAAATGTTAAGCCATGCTTTTATTGAATATCGCCGTTAAATTACCCGATTTAAGGGTAAGTTTCTAAAAAGATTATAGCTACTTCCACATCAGCTCTTTAAGTAAAAGTAAATAAAAATATATTAGATAAAACCGAATCATCCTGCTGTAATTAGGCAACTAAGCAAATAAAGTTTAAAAGAAAACTTTTACAGCATTATTTGCGATATAAAAAGATTTCAAAACAATTCATAATTCTTCTTTAAGGATCTAGTCAACCTAGATCACCTAAGGAAAGTTAAGGGCAATCAGATGAATAGGCCTCACGATGCTACTGCAGTTATTTTAGCATTCCCTCACAAAGGCTTACTTACCAAAGTTTGATTGCAGTTTCGGACTTCCCTGATTTTATTCATCACATCTAGGGGAATTCATTTCCAATTAAAAAATTACTGTTAACCTCTACTTGCGCTTTTATCTAAAATATTAAATTTGACAATAGTTAACCACATGTTTGCCTAATCAGAAATCCCCATATTCATTGTGATTTGGGAGTTGCCTCGCTTACCTTTAAGGGCCACTGCTCTGTGATCCACTGGTATCTGTGGCGATGAAGTAAAGTCTGGAGAAGATATGCTTTCCGGAATTAAGACTAAGTGAAAGAAAAAGGTATCGTAAGGACCAATTTTGTGCTTGCGGGAAAACTCAGCCATCATTTCCTAAATTACCCTATGCAACCAAAATTTATTAAGTTCTTACAGAAAATTATGTTACCTTATTAACCACTACATGATAGTATAATGTGTAAATATAATATCTGCATGCGAAATTATGCGTATTTACTGAACCAGACTTATATGCATTCTAGTATCATAATATTGCTTTTAACGTTTAAAAAATTTAAAAAATCGCAATTAATCTTTATTGCACAAAATAAAGTTTTGTCAGCTTAATAAAATTGTAATATATGG